AAAAATGAATTGATGATGAAAATAACGGGTGTAAATATAGAACAAATAAGACAAGAAAAGAATATAGAAGAAATTTTAAAAGAAGAAACGAATAAAAAAGAAGAAAATGAAATATATAGAAAGATGCAAAAGCCAGTTAATGAAAAAGATATTGATGAATTAAGCAAAGCATTAGAACAATTTAGAGCAGAAAAAATAGCTATGGAAGAAAGGTTAAATGAGATAAAAAATCAACAAAGAAGAAATATAAATAGAAACACAAATACAAGAAATGCAAGAATTATGAGATGCTATGAATGCAATGAAGAAGGTCATATAAGACCAGAATGTCCACAATTAAGACGAAGAAATAATTATAGAACGCAAAATAATTTTAATATGAATAATAATGAAAGAAGAAATAATAATAATAATAGAAATATAAATTTAATGGATCACGAAAGATATTATGATAATAAAGGATATAATGATAATGAATATTATAATAATCACGAAATATATAATTATGAAAAAGAAATATTTCCAACTTTAAGAAGCGGTAGAAAATATGGAAGAGATTTAGATAATGACTATAATGAGATGGAAATTGAAGATGTCCCAATACCACCAAAAGAGAATATGATATGAAAATGGATATTGATGGTGAAAGAAAAGGAGGATTTTCTAATAAAGAAGATAGAGATAGAGCATATCAATCGAGAAGAAGACATAACCGATGTGAAAGATGTGGATTAACAGGTCATTTTATAAGAGAATGTCCAAATCCAGGAATGAAAAGAGGAAATAAAAATATTAGAGTACGAGTTAATGTACCACCAGAAAAATATGTAATGGATATGTTTAATGAAAAAGCAAATATAACATATGGACAAATTTACAATGAAAATCCAAAATTTAGAAGAATAGCTAGAAATTATGATGAAGATGATAATGCATGACTACACTCAGACCAACAAATAAAAAGTGCAGATAATAAAAGTGAAACTAGAGCAATGAGAAGTGAAGTTATAATAAAAGGAAAATTAGTATCAATAATAATAGATTCAGGAGCATCAGTCAGTTTAATATCAGATAAATTAAGAAAAGAATTAAATATTCCAATAATAGAAAAGAGTGATATTAGATTTATAATGGCTAACGGAACAAGAGTTGCATCAAAAGGAAAAATAGAAATAACAATAAAAGTAAATGAAAACACAGAAATGGGATGTAATTGAATCAGTAGAGAAAGAATTAATATTAGGAAATGATGTGTTAAGAGAAAAGAAAGGAATAATAGATTATAATGAAAAGATATTAATATTAAGAGAAGATGAAAAAGATATTGAAATACCAATAGAATATGAAAATAATGACGAAAATATTAATGACGATAATGATAGTGATGATAGTGAAGATGATGATAGTGAAAATGAATATGAAGAAACAAGTGAACGAGAAATATATTTAATAAATAATGAAGAAAAAGGACATATTATAGAGGAAAACTACTAGGTCTTGGCCATAATAATGGAGAGACATTAAAGATGCACAAAGATTGGACAGACGAAATAAAATATAAAGATTTAGAGAAATTACAAGAGAAAGAATTAAAAGATTTAGTTAAAGAATACGAAGATATTTGTATATATGGGGATAAGAAAATAAGTAAAACAAATATAATAGAATGTAATATAAGATTGAAAGATGAAACGCCAATAAATCAAAAAGCATATAGAGAAAGTACAGAAAATAGAGAAATAATAAAAAGAGAAATAGATAAAATGTTAAAAGAAGGAATAATACAAGAATCATGTAGTCCATGGTCGTCACCAGTAGTAATAGTAAATAAGAAGACAGGAGATAAAAGATTTTGTATAGATTTTAGAAAAATAAATCAAATGACGATAACAGACGCATATCCTTTGCCAAGAATAGACGACTTATTAGAAAAATTTAGAGTAGCAAAATGGTTTACAACAATTGATTTAGCAAGTGGATATTGGCAAATAGAGATGTAAGTAGAAGATAATGAAAAGACAGCATTTATTTGTAGTCAAGGATTATATGAATTTAATGTTATGCCGTTTGGATTAAAAAATGCACCGGCAATATTTCAAAGAACAATGAATAAAATATTTAAAGAATACTTAGATAAATTTATGAACGTATATATAGATGATATTATAATATATTCGAAAGATTGGAATGAACATTTACAACATATAAAAATAGTATTAGAAGAATTAAGAAAGGCGAATATGATGTTAAAGTTAAAGAAATGTGAATGGGCGAAAAGGAATGTAGAATATTTGGGACATATAGTAGGAACAGATGGATTAAAACCAGATGAAAAGAAAATAGAAAAGATCAAAAATTTAAAACCGCCAAAGAATATCAAACAATTAAGAGAAATAAATGGATTATGTTCATATTATAGAAAATTTGTGAAAGGATATTCAAAAATAGTAAAACCAATAATGGAATTAACGAGAAAGAATGTTCCTTTTGTATGGACAGATAAACAACAAAAAGCATTAGAAGAATTAAAAGAAAAATTAATAAATTATCTGATATTACAACATCCAAATTTTGAAAATGAATTTATATTAATAACAGATGCATCAGGAGAAGGATTAGGAGCTATATTAGAACAATTAGATGAAAATAATAGAGAAATAGTTATTAGTTATGCAAGTAGAAGTTTAGTAAATGCAGAAAAGAGGTATCCGATAACAGAATTAGAATGTTTAGCAGTATTTTGGGAAATAAAATATTTTCATAAATATTTATTTGGAAGAAAATTTAAAGTAATAACAGACCATGCAGCATTAAAAGGATTTATAAGTACATCAAAAGTTCCTAAAGGAAGAAGAGGAAGATGGATGATGGAATTACAACAATATGATTTTGAGATAATACATAAACCAGGAAAAGAAAATAAGAATGCTGATGCGATGTCAAGGTTAATATGAGAAAGATAAAAGTTTAGAAAATAATAAATAGTAATGAATAACGAGATAAATAAAATTAAAAAATGGTTGAAAGAATAGGATTAGAAATATATATATTTATAATTCATACAAATATAAATTATCATTGCATATTATTTGAAGATAAAGAAATAAAATTTATTTTACCATTTGAAAACGAAATAGAAAATTTATTAACAAATGGATGAAAAAGAATATGATAAAATTGTAAAGAATATAGAAAAAGAAGAAAAATACGTACAAGAAAATGGAGTTTTATATAAAATTAAAGATGAAAATAAATTTAGAGTAATAAGAAGATTTGAATTAGAAGGAATAATGTATATGATGCATGATCATGAATTATCAGCACATTTTGGGATTCAAGCTACATATGAAAAAGTAAAGGAAAAATATTGGTGGAAGAATATGAAACGAGATGTAGAAAAATATGTAAAAAGTTGTGATAATTGTCAAAGAAGAAATAATCCACAAGGGTTACATGAATTACATCCAATAGAAGTAAAAGAACCTTTTCATATGATTGGAATAGATGTAATAGGACCATTACCAAGAACAGAAGAAGGAAATAAATATATAGTAGTAGCAATAGATTTCTTTACGAAATGGCCAGAAGCAAAAGCAATAAAAGAAGCAAATGCAAAAGAAATATCAAAATTCATTTATGAAGAAATAATTTGTCGACATGGATGTCCAAAGAAAATACTTACAGATAATGGATCGGAATTTAATAATCAATTAACTAAAAATCTTACAGAAAAATTTAATGTTCAACATAAATTCTCGACTCCTTATCACCCTAAAACAAATGGATTAGTAGAACGATTTAATAAAACATTAATAGAATCATTGGCGAAATTAGTAAAAGAAAAATTAACGATATATAGAAATAGAGAATATGAAGATAAAAATTGGGATCAAAGAATAGCACCAATATTGTTTGCATATAGAAGTAAAATACAGAAATCAAGTAAAATGACACCATTTTATTTGACTTATGGAAGAAGAGTAATATTACCGAATGATGAAGAAGTTAAAGGAATTACAATGATTAAAAGAATAGAACATATAATAGAAGAATTACCAATAAAAAGATATGAAGCGAAGAAGAATATTGAAAAAGCACAAGAACAACAGAAGAAATATCATGACAAAATTGGAAAATGAAAACAAAACTTTCAAATAGGAGATAAAGTATTATATTTTGATGCGGCAAAATACAAAACACATACAGGAAAACTAGAAGAAAAATGGAAAGGACCATATTATATACATGAAATAATAGTAAATGGATCATACAAAATTAAAGAATTAAATGGAAGAATTTTAAGAAGACCAGTAAATGGAGAATTATTAAAAGAATATTTTGATAGAGAAATATTTGAACCATATATAGTAATATAATATGTTTGAGACCCGAATTCGATTCTTAAATTAATTTATGGGACATAAATTTTTCAAGAGGAGGATAAATGTAATAACCGAAAATATAATAGATAAATGACGCAGTAAATCCTGTGGCGCAGTAGGTCACATGATATGGTTACACAAGAAGAAACAGTTGGGAATACAAAAGTCACGTGACAAGTCACATGGCGCAGTAAGTGACGGATAAATATTTAGCCGATGGATAAATAATTAGCCAATAAAATTATATTTATAGTTTAGTTTAGTGTAACGAGAAAGTCATATGATAATACATCTTTTATTTCTTATTATTCTTAGAATTTTAATAGAGAAAAAGTAGTAGATAGTAGAAATGATTTTCTTAAAATGTATAAATACAAGTGGATTTCGATAGGAAATTCCAGAGTTCAATTTTTTAGAAAAATAAAAAATTTTTAATTCGCCCTTAATAAAAACTAACACATTCTTTTTGCCTTTTTCTTATGAGTAAAAAGTGCCACATTAATTATTTTAATTAATGGTTTATTAATGTTTTGTAACTAATTTTTATTTTAAACCAAGCATAGAGACTACATGAACTCAACACGTCGGTGGCAACATACGATATTTTATTTTAATGTCCTATGGGTGGCGTGTCACAGTGGGATTAAAATTCGGCTTTAAGCTCTTCATTAATTCTGGTATTAATTGTTTTCTTATGTCTACGTTAGTTTTGCTCATAAACATTTGATCATAGTCCAGGTCGAATTTGGCAGGCATAGTTTTTAAAATGGTCTTCATTTCCATCTAAATTATTAACAGTAATAAAAAATTCAGTAAATATTAGCACGAAACCATTTTTTAAAATATTACTAACCCTTGCATCTTTATCATCCTTTTCATCTTTTTCGTCCATTTCAACATCCACGTCAATAATTTCGTCATCTGAATCTTCACTATCATTATTCCTAACGTTGGCAAATAAAAGGTAATTAATTATACGAATAGTTATAAAACGGATAACAAAAATTTATGATACCTTTGATGTTTACGTTTAGGCTTTGAGCTTTTTTTCATGCTTCTTGACATTCGAAGGTTCTTATAAAAATCGATTTGTTCATAAAGTCTGTCGTTCTCTTTTCCGAATTCCTCATTTATTTTTATTAGCATTTCATTTAGTTCTTTTGACTCTTCAAGTTCTTTATTAAGTTTGTCTATCTTATATTGCAATTCCATATTATCGGCTCTTAATTTCCCATTTTCTACCTTCAGATCTAAAAATTGAAGGTTTTCAAATATATATCTATATATCATAAAAATATTCATCAATAAACAATTAAGAATCAATAATCAAAATTTACCAAAATTACTCAAATTTTTTTCCAATGATCGCAAAGTTTCGGTTGCTTCAACTCGACTTTTGTCTAGAATCATCGATTTTGGTAAATGGATTTTTGGAATTTTACTTGTAAGCCTGCAAGCTTTGATTTAATAATATTTGACGATGATTTCGTATTGGAGAGAGAAGTTTGTAAAGCACTTGGTGATGAAGATGTTTTCGTATTGGAGAGAGAAGTTCGTGAAGCACTCAGTGATGAAGATGATTTCGTATTAGAGAAAGAGGTTCGTGAAGCACTTGGTGATGAAGATGATTTCGTGTTGAAGGGAATCTTAAAGTACTCAGTGATGAAGAAGATAATTTCGTATTGAAGGGGGATCATAAAGTTTCTGATGACATATTGGAGGTTCGTAAAGCAGTTTCTTTCTCATCAACATTAGGAGGGACAAGATAAAAAACATCTCTTTCATTTCTTTCAGTTCCTTCTTTCTCTCTCTTTTTATTAATATTCTGTGATGTGTCCTTTGACATATTTGAAAAAAATAGAACTTTTTTTAATTGTTAAAATAGCCAAAATTTATTTACTCTTATTAAATTTATTAAATTTGTAAAAATATATAATAAAATTTTACACGAAAGTATTTTGAAATTGTAAGAAAAAAAAAGTTAAGTTCTAGGACGAAACTTTGAAGAATCGAGTTTTTTTATAATTTATTTATAGTTAAAAATTTGATCAAAAGCTTAATTTATACTATTAAATTCTTAAATTTGATAAGTGATTTATCGAATTTTTTATTAATAATTCGATAAGTTACTTTACGTTAAGTTGATTGAAATTCGATAAATCAATTTTAGTTGATGTGAAATTCGCCAAATCACTTAAATTTGATGAGAATTCAATATATCACTTAAAGTTGATGGAAAATTCGTAAAGTTTGATAAGAATTCGATAAATCACTTTTAAGTTGATCGCTCAAGTTGAAAATTCGTTAGTCAAAACTTTACTAGCAAAAATTATATGATAATTATTGAATCGAAATAAATTTCGATACAATTCCATAATTATCAAAATTATCTGAAATTTTTGACAAAATGGGACGAAAAAGAACGATATCTAGTGTACTTGATGAAAATCCTATTACTACCAGATCACCTCGAGTTACTACTCGATCAATCGTTCAGCCAATAATTCGTAAAGTACCCTGTTTCTGTAGCGATTGCGAAGGAATGTTAGTTGCTCCTTGCACAAAGAATTGACATAAATTATCGAGCCAACTTTTATCAGATATTTCAGAAGTAGTTATCGAAAATACTGAAATTTGAGATAACGAACTATCCGAAGTTTTGGAAAATACTGAAATTCGGGATAATGAACCATCTGAAGTTTTGGAAAATACTGAAAATATTAATGATGAATCATCTCAATTGACTATTTTAAATGAGCAAAGAGTTGACCGATTACCTCAAAGATGTAGATCAAGGTACATTTTGACTAGAGTTTCCATTGGTAACATCGGTAACATCGAACAAGATTTATCATTGAGAGAAAGTACGGCTGAAGATCAAAGCGAAGACACTAATGAAGATAACGAATCGAATGGAGATGATGAATCGGAAAATAACAATTCTGAAACTTTTGAAGATTATTCATGCCCTTCTTTTGAACTATATCAAGACCCAGATGTCACTGCAACTCCAACTAGCGATGATAATAAGTTTTTATGGATTTTAATATGGATTATGAAATTTTGAATGAGATTTAACATTCCAGAAATAGCAACTGAATCACTAATAAAGTTCATAAAACTGTTATTGGATGAAATTGGCGATACCGCATTTGAAAATTTTTCCATCACTTTATACAAAGCGAGAAATATTCTCAACATAGAAAATTGATTTCATTGCTTTGCAGCATGTATGAAATGTCACAAATTATATAACAAACAAGAAGTAGAGGAGTTTCGTCAAGATGAAATTCTTGCCATTATGAAATGTGTCATCGGGCTGGATGTGAGAGGTGCTAGCACCACCCACCTCCGGGTCTACGACCCGTCGCAGTACCTATATGGCCCCTATGGGGCTCAGGTATCCTCCATATATACTACCACTATGGCCACAGTGGCCATGGCTGGTCACACTACTTTCCAACTCCTTTTTTTTATCCATTTTTTCTTATACATAAAACTACTATGACCACTATGACCACTATGACCAGACTACTAAAAAGTGGATAAAAACGCGAATAAAGCCAAAATCAGACAGAATATCCGGTCATAGTACTGGCCACAGTTTGAAAAACTTATGATAATACTATGGCCACCTTAGTTAGCCTCTCAGGCTCTAAAACCCGATTTAAGCTATGACCACCCTTTATCTACATACCTGGGACACTGAACTATGCCACCGAACTATGACCACTGAACTATAACCACCGAACTATGACCGCCGAACTATGACCACCGAACTATGACCGCCGAACTATGACCACCCTTTATCTACTTACCTGGAACACTGAACTATGACCGCCGAACTATGACCGCCAAACTATAGCCACTTTCCCCGTCAGAAAAAATAAGTAATTGAACAATGGGTATTAGGAATAGAGCATATCCAGATAAGTTTAGAAGGCAGTACTAATCCGTCTTCCTCTTTTTTGCCTCCTTAAGGCATTTATCAATATACTGTTTACACGCGTCATCAGAATCTAAGATTTTCTGTCCAAGTTTTTTGCATTGCCGATTGTAAGCCGTCTGATGTCTCTTAGCAGCGGTTTCTTTCTTTTTCTCCTTAGTCTTCTTCTTGATCACCCAG